GTTGCTGCTGACAAAGAGCTCTAGCAGCTGCAGGTCAGTATACAATTTCCAAACAGTTTGAAAGTCCCATCTTGGTAATTCTTCCAATAAATGTTTTTCTTTTTTGTGGAAAAAGTCAACAGAGGGATTCGCCATTTTAAAACTAGAAATTTACATCCAGTACAGAGACTTTAAAGCAGGCATGTATTGCTTTCTGCAAAACCCTATTTCAAAAAGGGTTGTGACAAAAACATTGTAACTGATGTAACGTATCAATATAATAGGTACTACAGAAGCTTTGAAAGCCATTCATATTTCATCATGACTGACATCAAACTGACCTGGCTAAAATGACATAACGTCTTCACATTAACAGGTGGGTACAGGAGAGAAGATGGGTTAATATTAACGATATTATACAAGATAGGGAACATTTCATTTCACCATTATGCCTGTTTTTTTTTTCTTTCCTTTTTTCATGTACTTGCAGGACTTTTAAGGCTAGTAATACCAGGGTTTATGTGCAAGACCAAAGAAAATGGATTTCCTTTCAAGTAAGCTGCATTCTTATAACCCACTACTTATCTGTCTAATTTCCTGAGGGATTCCGGATTAATCATTGCAGTTTAATCCCTTTGCACTGCATTAGAATCCTCTATCAAACTCTCACTGTAATGCAGGACAGTACTTTTGGTTGGAGTAACACAGCCAAAGTAATCCCTGCACACTTTCCTGAGAAGCCCTCAGTGTAGGTCACGATGATTGGCCTGCACTTCTCATTATTGGTGTTTTAAATGCTCTAAATTGCCCAGATGTCTTTGAATAATCTCTACAAAGTCAGGCTAAATTGTTAGTAAGTATACTCAGACTATTTCTAATCTCACACGGAATTAGATTCTCCTGTTGGTAATTGAAAGTCTTGCGCGTCTTACTTATTAACAGTACTCGCTCATAGTCTGTATTTCCTAAAATACTTTTTCATATTCACTGAGCTGCTGGAAATTCAGGGATCAATATGAATTAACAGAAGTGAAATGCTTTCATAATCTACCTGCAGAACAATGTCAACAAAGGTCATACTGAATAGTAAAAAGAGCTGCAACACAGGGCTTTGCCAAGGCATGACATTTTGATATACGAGGTCGCTTTAAATAAACCACTTCCTCCTCTTCTGTTCTATCAGTCATACGTGCACATGGTTGTCTGTGAATGCTGTAAGACATTAGAAACATTTTCACTCCATGATGAGTGACATTTTGTTGTATTCAAGTATCATCTGCTCTCACTCAGTGTGATGATCCTGTTCCAGCTGCTTAGTTCTTAAAATGTTTCAGCTGTCATATTCTTCATAATGAACACTGCTCTAACATTGTATCATTTGCACCCAAGCCTACATTATTAAGTCTGGCTCACTTCTTACATTGTTAACTGATTCCCCCCCCCCTAATTATTCATTGATTAAAGAAGAATGTCAATATGCCAATTTTATCAGTGTTGATTTTAATGTACACTTAAATGTCTCTGTGCCAAGGTGTCATTGAGTCTGCATTTAACCTTAAATTAGATCATTTTTCAACCGTTTTAAAATGTCTCTGTTGTCTGTGCTTTCTCCAAAAATTATTCCAATTTGCATGGATAAATGGATTAAGGAGAAAACTAAAGAGTACAGAAAAAAAAGAGAACTAAATTTAGGAGAAACACTTTAACAATGGGGAAAAGCACTTGTTTTTAAAACGTCAGTTACAATAATGTAGAGTAAGCAAGTATATGTCAGGGACTGAAATCTTCTTCCAGTGATGAGAATTATACTTGCAGAAATATGTTTTTAAGTAAACATGTTCTCATTGTGTTATTGTGTAGAAAAGATATTGACATTAAACCTGATCTTAGTTTAAGATGTAACCTCTACAAATCTACCTGTGTTACATTAAAAACAGTGGATCTTTTGGCTTAATATCATCATTAAAAATGGTCTCTGTGCATGCACGTGTGTTCTTTTTATTTTTCACTGTAGTGTATTTCAGCTGGGTGGGCTTGGACAGCTTAGTCTTGAATGTGTGGTCTCTGATCACGTTTATCCTTAACTATATTGATTTATTGTTCAAGCCTGTAATGGGATTTGCTATGACTTTTGTTGTTCAGTAAGTAAACAAATGGTGCAAGGAATTGATTTTTAATTGAGGACTTGAAATTAGATTTCAAGAGTGGAAAACAGACTAAGCCAGGTGTGAATGGAGTCAGAAAGAAAAAAACAACATAGAAATGAAAAGTACTCCTAAACTATGTCAACCATGAAGATATGCACTAGATGTCCAGGTGAACACACACACATATACGTATATTTTTCAAATGCATATTCTTCGTGAATTATTAACAGCCCAAACATAAAACATTGAATAATGGTTTGAGCAGTTAGGACTGCTAATAATCTGTTTGGCTGTAAACTTCCCTGTACTATTCACTCCTTAATTTCCCAAACTGATAGTGCTCTGGCTTCTGTCTGAAAATGAACAGGTATTTTGAAGAGAGAAAAGAAAATCCATTAAAAGGAAACACTAATGTATGTTTTAATAAAATGCCATGAATCATTATTATTCATTGGATTAATTGTCATATAGTTTGTAGTCTCCGTCACCCCCAAAATTTCAGACTGTATTTTTCCATCCGTCCATTATCAATACCGCTTATTCCCTGATACTGTATTTTTCTCCCTTAAAATTCTCATATATGTGGTTTTGTAAATGACTGGCAATTAACCCATTCTGTTATTCAGTATGAGGACATGTTGCTATTTGCAAAAGCAATAGACACTGACAACATGCCACAGCGCGTGCTATACATGATACTGTCTGCCTGATACATTCTCACCACCTGAATATCAAATGACAAGTAATTAATCACCAGCGCTTCAACCGCACATACGCAGACATATTACAGCTTGAGCTTATCTACACTATGTTAGCTAAGACTCATTAAGTGCCAATTATAAAATACCCTCGAATCAACAGTAATTAGCACAATTTACTATCCAACATGCGGTTTTTAGTAAAGTAATTTTCAAAATGATCCAAAGATATATGTTTGTTTAAAATAATATGAATAAATAAATATAAAATGAACAAACTGAGGCACCAGTGGATATCTTATTTCAAAACGTTGTAATATTATTACATGTCCACAGACAGATGTTGCTTGCTTTCAGTTTTCAGAAAGGACACCTGAATGTATCTTAAAAGAGAGTGCTTTCTTATTTCTTTAAAAGGAAGTCATAATTTAGAAATGGAAAAACCTTGGGAAAAGAAAAAAATCAAAGAAAAAAATCTTGAACGAAACCAGGGGTGTACAAATTATTCAAAACTCACATGTCGCATTTACCTTTTAGGAATACTTGCTTTTAGAGACTCTGGTAGTCATCCTAACATATCTTAATCCCACAGTCACATCATGGTAATTAAGAGACTGACCCTAAAACCCATCTGGTCTTATCAGGCAGACAGTACTGCCACCTGTTCAGCAGTGAATTGAATTCATATTTGGACGCATTTCCTTTTTTCGTTTTCTTTCACCTTGTACAAACAGCCATAAAGACGGTTTGATTCACCGAACAATGTGATTCGTCTGGGGGGAAATAACACTTTTTGTCTGAGTATTTGATAGCAACCTCATTTTTTTGCATGTCCTCCAGCTGACACAACACCCACAATTTTTAGTAAGTGGGCACTTACAATTTACAATCCAACACGTCTGTCATGTTGTCACGGAGAAAGAGGCCTCTTTATTTTTGAACACCTGTTTTCTTGTGATTGTACAAATGTGTGATTTCCCAATTCCAAATTTCCTGAGTGCGCTGGCAGATATTCACCTTGTGAAAGTAATAGTGTAGATGCCTCTCTGAAGGGACTTGACAGAACATCATGAGACTTTAAAAGACACAGTAGCACTGACATTAGCTCTTTGAGGCAGCAATGCATCCTTGGGCTCCTATTATATCCTTTCTGGAAGACGGAAATATGCATTTGTCGTAAAGAAAAGCTACGGCCTTGAAATTGATAGCATGGAAAGGTCCTGAAAAACCACCTACTATGCCCAAAAAAACCTACGACATCAGCAGGCAGGATATCATTAGAAAAAAATGGTCTATTTGCAATAAAGACCAAGCTTGGTTGTCAAATGAGTTGTGGTGTCTGTGTGCAGAGCATGTCCAGCCTCTCTACCTTCAACTGTGCAATTAATTTAAGGAGTAAAAATGATGTATTCAAAGGATTTTCTTTTAACGTAAGGAGGAAAGGAGTGTGCATTAACAACAGAAAACTGTTGGCTCTACCTTGTCTCCTTTGTCCCCCTTTTGTCCAGGCAATCCAGCTAAGTCTGGAGGACCAGCATCTCCCTATGAGCAGCGTGAGGAAGGTTTGAAATGTTAGACATGTGACACATCTAAAAAAATGTATTACAGTAGCAAGAAAATGTATTCTACATAAAGTTTTATTTGTCTCTTAAGAAAGACAGGCCCTTTGCAGTATTTACAGCAAGAAATGTTGCCCATGAGGTATCAACGGAGAATTTAAACATGTGAAATCCTTGACATTGGGGCATACGTTGATGCCACAAATCCATTTCAACTGATACACCTGATGAAATGCCAGAAGCCCAATCTCTCACCTCAGATTCTGTTCAGTAGTTTTTCTGTGAAAAGACTGAGGTGAAGAGCTGAACCTTGAAGCTGTAACATCCTGTCCTCTCAAAAAATAGCTTGCAGCTTAAGAACATTCATTCAAATCTCAGTCTGGAGTTAACATTTGAAGAAGAAAGAGAAAAAAGAGAATCTATCCACTTCTCTGAGGAACATTACTTCCATGTTTGTGTTAATAGATTGTGGCTGCATAGTCTCTGATTGGCCTCAAAGGAAAGTACATTTTGGCATAAATGCATTTTAATAGGCTGTTTAGCTCCCACAAAGGATGAATTACATGTGGTGTCAAATCAGCGCTGTCTCACTTACAATAGCCATTTCACTCACTCAATTAGAACCCCTTGTTGGGCCGAATTGATTGTACCTTTTCATCTGGACAGTGACATCTGTCAATTGACCGCGAGGCCGGCTGAGACAGCATCAGGGGCATCTGGGCTGTAACCAGGGGAGGGGAAGTCCCATTAAATGTCTCGACTCCACACTGGATCAATACAGAAATTTCACCATTTAGACACCTTCTTTTGTTATATTTGCTTAAAGAAAGAGAAATAGAAAGAAAATAAAACAGAACTCAAAGTAATGTCTCACAATTCAACTTATACAGCCAGAGTTTATGTTTTTTAGCACTTTTAAGCACTGTGCAGAGATTGATAAAGCCCCCGTAGAGTTTTAACATCTCAGGCATCACTCTACACTGGCATGGTAAGTAAGAGGTCAAAGGTCATCTGTTAGAATGACTGTAACATTAGCTTGGATTGATTTTATGATAATAGAAGCTTTTGTTATCCAATTTCCATCTGGGGACATGTGTCCCTTTGGATGAAACCAAAATCCAGCAGCAGTTTCATTGTCTGATGACGATGCATGTGACAAAAAAGGCAGAACAGCCTGTGACTGCTGATAACTGAGATATCTATCGCAAGTGCTATGATGTCATGGACAATGTTGGAAAATCTTTTTTCTATCAAAAGTCATTAGTTTCAGCTCTGTAGAATTTTAAAACATGTTACCTTTGGTTTTAGCAGCTCGCAGCAATTTTCCATCTCAGCCATATAAGGGTCACAGTAGATCAGAATTTGTCTCACTTCAATCTGTTGAAAAGAGCTGGTATTAATAGACTATTACAGCACCACGCATTCGTTCTATTATCACATCAAGCCCCTCTTTCAACTGACAAATATCTGCATCTCATTTGTTGACTCAGTACAATTTGTGCCCTCGTCAGCTGTTCTAGCTTGAAGGTATCAGTAAAATCACTCAAGATTCTCACTTGCTTCCCGATTTATGTAATTTGCAAGTTACATGGAGTGAAAACACAGTTTATAATTCCACTTAAGCCAAATTCTTCTCAAAAGCTTGAGTTACCAAATAGCAAAGCTCATCTTATGTTTTTACGGGCTTTTTCTTTTCTTCACAAAACGAAGATAAGAATCACAACACAAAAAATGCTGCAGAATAAACCAAATATCCCAATGACGCACACATTTAAAAATATATATATTTGAGTACCTTTCTCAATCAGAACCTAAGTGGACAGGCTCAATAAATTTACCCCCGGTAAACCTTAAGAAAACTGTTCATATTTACTTTGAAACAAAAAAAGAAATGTTTTCTGACAAATTTATCATGGAACCCACATCTACAGGCCGTCCGTCCTCCACTCGTGTGGTGATGAGTGTGCGTCCGCTGGAGTCAATGGTGTCCCTCTCATCTGTCAGTCTCCTTTCTAATAGATTGCAGTCCATATAAATGGAGACCATGTTACTCTGTACAGAAATGCTCAGCTTGTGCCACTGGCGATCAAAGAGGGCAAGCAGTTCACGGCTCTTAAATGTGTAGCGGAGAGCGTTCTTTGTCAGGCCTTGATAAGAAAACTCCACCGCTTTCTTTCCACCGTCAACCACAACGGAAACCTGCAAAACGAAAAAGAGTTTCACCACAAAGACTGATGTTGTTTCGGGTACTGACGTGGACATTGAAACAGGCCTACCTGACTGCCACCTGATTGGTCAAATATCTGCCAGAGATACCAGCGGTCTTTCTTGGTTGTTCTTCTCACCCGGAAAATGCAAACCAGGGAGTACTCACTTGAAAGCCCATTTGGAAATATTAATCTAAAAATGAAAATATATAGATTGTGACAGAGTGCATTGGATTCATCCTTTAAACAAATTTTTTTTGCATTGGATATGAAGAACTCATAAGCTTTCAGGAGCTCAATAATAAACCAGCTAATCAACTTCAGTGATCAATAAAATATTTTAGTACCTTCTTGATGCATACGTTCACATAAATAAACCCGACAAACTTAATCCCATTTAGTGTGATGAATTTCATTCAGGCCTCCCTGTCATTCAGATAATGAAAACATACAGACATTGATCCAAAGTTACAGAAACCAATCTTTTACTGCAATAAGACTATGTGCTACAGATACAGGGTTATGGGTTTACTGTCGGAAACAGCTATGCATTTATGTCTCTGACCTCAGTGACTTTGGAATGTCAAATAAAAGTAAATTAGCAGTAAAAAAAAAAGTACAAAAATAGAAAAAACATACCCTTTAAATCACACGACTAATTAAAAACAGCTTATTAAGATTCTCATCTCTCAATCCACACTCACACTTTAGTTTTAATTCTAATGTTGTGACAGAGAGAAAAAAGTCACAACTCATAACCTTTACAATACTCCAACCTAACAGCTCTAATTCCAGTCTTAAACTAACAAGCAAAGGTAGAAAAGCATAAACATAATAAATCAAGATCAGAAAAAATAATAATAATGCAATGATAAGGTCATTGGGAAGGCAGAGCACAGCCAGGGGGCGGAAGAAAGAGACAGCTTCCTTAGACAGGTTGGAAATTAGTTTTCACTCCAATATATCATCTCCTATTCTCTTAGAGCTTCATAGCCTCTTATATTGTAGGCTTGAAGATTTTAGTGTAAAAGGTACATGACTAAAATGATAAATACACCAAGTTAAAGCTCCAGAAAAATAAAAAATGCTTCTGTGAGAGGCCAAGGACTGGGAAGGTCATTGGTGGCCCCACGGGCCAAGACTATTTCAAATGCAATTAAATATCAAAAGTGACACAGCAGGCTATGATGAAAAAAACAAATTAGAAATGCGACCAGCTACGTTTTTAGGGCTGATCATCCAATACCTTATTCTATTAAATGGCTCACTAATAATAGTATACTGTATAAGATACATGGAAAAGTATCAGGGGAGAATATGCATTCTGGGAGCCTTTCCAATACATGCGACTTATGAAACATTATAAATTCATGCAGGTTTAATGTCACTGACATTCTCAGCAAAATATGGCGAGGAAGTGTTTGCCCTTAGGGCCACAAAGTTCACACACTTCTTTGCAAATGCCCAAGAGAGCTGACTCTCATTTCAAAACATTGTGCGTGGCAGACATGATCTGTGAGGGTCGACGGGGCAAAGTTCCTGACCTCTTGTTGACCACTTTGAGTGGCTAAGTGGGGAAAAAAATGGAGCCCAGCATTCTTTGGTTTGAACATGGTTTGTTTGATTCTTAGGAGAAATGCAACTCTTTTAGTTTAGATAGGAATTAATGGATAAATGGAGAAGAATGCACGTCCCTACTAGACAACGCTGTCAAAACAGCTTTTACAATAACTACTATTCTGGAAACTCTTTTCAATTTGACTAAATTCAATGGCAAGAAATTCAAATGCCCATTGAATTCAATACAGTAACTATGTTTTACTTCAACTGAAATCATTTAATGACTGTGCACAATAAGGTCAAACTGTACAGATTTAAAAAAACAAATAAGCCATTCACACTTCAATAAAACTGATTTTTTACCATTTTTGAAAATCACAGAACATTCTATGACACATAAGTTACAGGCAGAATTTGAATTTTCTATGGGATGGTCACAGTCTTCCTAGAAACTATCACCTCTCTGAATCATGCCTTTTAAAGTGCATTCTGCTTGGCTGACACCATCCTTTGTATAATCAGTGACCGCAGTTTGACACAATGTCACTGCAACACTGCCGGCCTGCTAGACAATCCCAGGGAAGCGACTTTAATGTCCTAGCTTGAAGGAAATCCAATACTGGAGAATTCTTTTAAAGGAGTCAGAGGAGTCAAATTGCTGCACTTGAAACAATCAAACATCAAGTGCTGGGCTCGTTGGCTCACATTCCTATCACTGTCAATCGTTGAACTGACTGACCATGTCAGTGTCTGGGCATAATAATGCATCATGTATTAAAAACATAACCTCTCCTCAGCATCAGTTCTCGTTTCAGTCTGAATGTGCTAATGATGTCCCGTTTGCCCAACAAGAAGAGAATTGTAATTGGTCAAGCCAAACTAAATGTACTCCAATAATACGTTGGTTTCTTTACAAGTAAAAAATGCCTGTTGTGTCTTCAGTGTTATACCTTTTCACCAAGATACATTTCTCATCCATACATTTGACATCTACTGTATATATGTGTGTTTTATATATTTAGTTTTTCAATATATTGTGTGTGTGCGTATGCATATACACAAACAACAAATTCTACAAGCTGTATCGATATCTTGAAAATTTGAATACCAAACGGACACTTAAACCTTAAAAAAGAACACAATACTTCCCAACAGAACATTTCCTAAAGTATCACAAAGCCCACCAAAATCTGGTTCTTTTCAAAGTCATTCCAATCCTTACCCATTACCTTCAAGGACAGAATGTTCACTCGCTGCCTCTTATATTATTAGTCCTTTCACTATTAGGCTCCATTGTAATGAGATAATCAATCCTTCTACTTCACCTGTCAGTGGTCATAGGGCTATTGCTGGGCTTTGTAAAAGCTGAAATGACACTCACAAAACAGTTAAACCACAGACTGAAAGCTTAACATAAACTTTAGTTGTTTGATATACTGTATTTCAGTCTCATCCAAACCATTCTATGAGTTTGTCGTAGCATTCATTCAAATGACAATTTTGTTCTCATGTAAAAGAGAATCATGCAGAGAATAGAGATGCTTAATTACATAAAAGAGCTGAGGATTTAAAAGGCACTGTTTCAAATTAATTGTCTGTAATGATAAAATTGTAACTTTGAATTCTGCATTTTCCTCCCAGTTTGCATTTAAAATTACATGAAAACAAATAACAATTTCTTCGAATACTACAATCCAGTAAGGCTGCTTGTGACATAACTCCAGGCATCCAATAAAAAGTGCCTATTCAGCTTCCTCTGCTAAACCTTTGAACATAAAAATCTAATGTTGTTTTGCGCTGCCACACAGACTAACCATAACCGCAGACAATGATGACAAATTCAAAAGTAACTCAAAGGCTGTTTCAATGATTAAAACACATCACTTATAAATACGAAGCACAGGTTAATGTAAAGAGGGCAGGATCCAACAAAGATATTTCTTAAGACAGAGAAACACTGCTACTCAAATTTCCCATTGGATTGATGGATACACGCTATCGGGCAATTTATCACCACACATAAATGCTCGGAGAGTGTGTCAGCTGTGATATATGTACCATAATGTGCATTGTACCAAGGGGTTGGCAGATCATCAGCTAGATGTAGGGAATGAAGCTCGAACTGCTTCATATCCTGCAAGTGAAGTGAGCAATGTTTCAGCATCTGAGGCATAGCAGGGGCCTCCTGCTCCGTGCAACTGCCCTCGCTTTCCTTCGTCAGCTGACATGCAGTATCACCTGTCAAAGTACTTAGATAATTGGATATGAGAGGGATCGCAGTCTTACCACTATAACCAACGACACTGTCAGCAGCGTCACTGAGAACCAGCGTCTACTCACATTATGGGCTCAGACTGAGAGAGGGGCTGAAGGATAAATGTATTTTCAGCTGGGTGACAGAACAGGAAAGCAGATCACAAATCACCTGGCACAAAGATTTGTCCCCCTATACCCACTGAGAGAGTGGCAATAAATGTTTACAGTTTCATGTAAATATACTAAAAATATCCTGCCCCTTCTGGAGGCCTGACAAAGTGTTTTAGTTTACTCTGACAACCAAAGAAACAAAGCGATGATCATGTCAAGATGCACATTTTGGAATCCAAAACATCACGATAACGAGATGCCAAGTAACCTTCGCAGGTTTGTTGATGTCTTTAGTAATGTAAGTGATGGGACAACATGTGAAGGTGCACAGGGCCTTCATAGAGCTGTATCAAGTCAGGTGAGCACTTTATTCCTGTTTCAGAACCAGTGCAGTAAAGCCTCACAGTGACCCTGCCTGTCAACTGGGGAATAAAAGTACTCAACAAATGACGCCTTTGTGAACCATTATGCAATTATTTTAATATTCCTGTCTTATTATACATGCCCCTTCTTATTTTCATTCCCGTATGTTCCATATTTTGCCCCAAGGAGATTTCAGGAATAAATGCAATATATATTAATTTGGTTCAAATTATTGTCCGTCTTCCAGTTCACCTCACTGCTTACCCCTATTAGCCAAGGAAAATTGAGTCATTGCTCTAAGCGGGAGATGTCTGGCTTGCTTTACTCCAACATTTTGACAACACTGTTTTTCCCCCTGAGAAAACAGCTACATATACATGGAAACAAACCTAAATTCTCATGGGTGGTCACAACAAAATGTTTTAAAAATATACTAGTGAGTTATAAATATATATAACCTGTTCTTGCAACTTTTGAGGTTAAAGTATCTTTTTACATATTATATTAAAGAGGAACAAGAATTAGAACACAAATGAATGCAGCTTACTTTGTAGGCTTGATAAGTGGACTGCTTCCCAATCGAAAGGACGGCAGGTCTTCCATGACTGTTCCCTTTCTAAGAAGAAACTTCTCTGTGAGATCAAACCCTGTAAAAAACATAAATGTGTGACTAGATAGCCTGATGTTGATTTACTTGCAATGCAGAGAAACCTTTACATTCAGACCGTACCTGTGATTTCCAAAGGACGATCTAGAACATCAGAAAACCTGTGTTCTTCCACATTCATAGAAGGACATGAGCCATCTATGGAGAAAACAACAGTTTCTGTTTCTTTGATCCAAATATTCAGTGACTCTATGTCTTTAACCAGTATAGGGAGACAAAATGTAAAAGGACAATTTCTTCCCATGTTTAATATTTGAGGACTAACTTTGATCATAAAATGTTTCAAATACATCTTTCTAGTTATCTGCTTCTTTATCTCCAAAGAGGATCATTCTATTTCATATGACTCATGTTGAACAATATGTACAAATATATACGGCTGCAGATGATAATCTCTGCCTTCTATCCACAGTTTACTTTTTGGACATACAATACATAGACTAACATACCTGTGTGTTCGCTCACTGCCATTCCAAAAATGCGAGGAATATAATTCACAGTCCAAATGAAAGCAGCCCATTTCAGCAAGTTGGAAATCATGACTCTGATGCTGGGAAGGAGCCTGCCTGCAAACCTCGATAAAAACAGAACAGATTTCATGAATTAAACACATGTTTATTCTTGATCAAATGTTTTTGAATAAGTTACATGTGCATTAATCATTAGAATCCCAAAAGTCTCTGATAAAAGCGTATTTTTGGTTAAACGTTTTCAGCATTGATTGATACAATGCTGAACTGATGCTGAATTAGGCAGCTATGCAAAAGTGTAATGTCATCAACAAACACTTCATTCAGGCTCTTCATCCACTTTGGGTCCGATTGGTTCCCATAAAAATCTTTTAAAAAACACCAAATGTTCACCCCACACCTGCACATATGTATATGTTTAGAGGCCCTGAAAGGTACACTTCTGTTCCCAAGTAGTAAATGCACAATTTACAAAGGCACAACAGCAGGACCCGGAATGATCATTAACAAACTGGTGGTATTATGTTTATTCTAAGTCAACATATGAACTAAACATTAAGAAACATGTTGTATTTATACTGATTTATTGTTGTCCCCCGTATTCTTCCACATTTACATCATGTGACTATAATAAATAACTTTGAGTGAGTGAGTTTCAATAATGAAAACAACAATGTCAGCATGAGATTCAAGCTTTGAAGCCATGTGTCTAGCATTTCAGCAGTAACACTAATTAACAGCAGACATGAGCAAACAATGGGCAGAAAAGACTTTTATCCTTGTTATCCTGGTTGCAGCAGCAACTGACTAGTTGTTTTTTACAGCTAGAAAAACAAAACAAAGGACAGTTGCATACATTGCATATCAAGCATTTATTCATTTTCTTAGAATTACCTCTCTTATTTAATTTTTTGCAGCAATTTGCAACTTAGAGTCTTGAAATAGGAAAAAAAAAATGCCTCTCAAACACTGTAGCAGGTCCCTAAAACTGTCAGCTGAAGATGAACACACTCACTCAAAGTTTTAACATCAGTGACACGTACACATGCTAACAGTGTGCTGCACCAAAAGCATTAGCCTTTAGCCAGGGTGATGTTTAAAGTTAAGTATGTGAGTTCAACACAATAGTTGGATCCACAAATGTAATTTCACAAAAGTTAAGACAAAGTGCTAACGCTCCATTCTTCATCTCTTTGATCTATGAGCCGTACGCAGGGTGCTGGTCAAAGACATTCGTTTTAAGGCTCAAACATGAGAACCCCAAGTTACAAGGCAGTTTCTTGAACCATTTCACCATGCTGCCAAACCAAATCTTCAGAATTACTCTCATGCCACTGCAGAGGCCCGACACATTAAAAGTCACCCAGTACAGTCGGTGAGGCAGACACACATCCAGCAGATCATTACAACTTTAAACACTTTGAGTAACTTTTAAATTGCTTTGGAACTTCATCCATAAGGATGACACCTGAAGTCCCAGAGGAAAATAAAACAGGAACATACTGTTCGACACAATTCAGCTGTTTTAAAGACCTCTTTAGGGGACTATGCAGCTGTCATCCTACTGCAAATACTGGGCTATAACCCTTCCTTTTCTTGACTCACTCGTCTGTGTCCACCAAGCATAAAAAAGGCTGAGCACATAGTTGAGAACTGCACTTAATTTCCACAGACCATAATAAAATCTATGCACATTAACTTTATTCATAAGTCACAGTCCCACAAAGTGTGACGGATGGTAGAATTGTTTTTAACTCAATGTGAAACTGCCCTTAACTATCTCTCTCTCTCTTTAAAAAGAATAAAGTCCCCAGAGAAAAGACTTCTAGTCATGCAGCAAGACATCTTCCACTAGATCATAAAGTGTGGCGTGCAGGCCTACGGTTGGCCCTCATGGTGTCTGGAGGTGAGCTTAACCATGACACTGTACAACTACAACCATGGATGGGTTGTAGACAAGCAGCTACACAGAATGTGAAGGTGTAATGTTACTCCCCTTATTTCTGCAAACGCTTGCAACACACGGGACTTAGCAGCCTGCGTTCAGAGTCATGCACATCCTCACATGACAAATTCTTCTGTATGGCTTGAATTTCTAAAAAGTTTTCCAAACAACAACGCTGCTCAACCGTAAGTCGTCAATCCACATCGATTTCGATTCTAAACTGAAATAGTGGCCGGCTGTGCTGCTTCTGTCTAAGGGAAAGAGCAAAACACGAGGCTCGGGCGCATAAGTTTAACTCCATCATCCAGCCGGCCGGCAGCCTGCAGTCAGAGGCATTACGCGCAAAGCTCCGCATTATTCAGAGAAGCGTCTTTCTGTGCGCGGAAGCTGATTGGCTGGATAGTTATGTATTTTCCTTTTAATAATTGCAGGATGCAGAGGTCTATAATCTCCCAGAGACCGTCCATCTGTGCACACTACTTTAAAAAAATGATGGTCCACGTTTACTGCCACCAAAGCTTATATCGATCAGAAACTATCGGTGCGTCCCGACGCAGACAAGTGGAACGTGGGTGAATAATAGAGAATGAAATGAGTTAATTCCTCCTATGGCAAGTGATAAAACATTTTAAAAAGTGTCCGTCGTGAGAGTTTCGACAGATCAACACGCTAATTTGTACACTTGGCGATGTTGTTTGTCATTTATTGCAAACTATTACTTGAACTAGAAGTACTTACAGTTAGTGATAAAGTTTCCTTTAAGGTGAAACCGAGCGAAACGCGACGAAAAAGACATAATCCATGCGTGATAACGATCAGTCCGTCCCTGGATTCCGGGACTTGGAAATAAAAGTCACTGTGGGATCGCCAGCTCGATCACGGTCCTTATTAGTTGCACGGAGTGGCCCTCCCACTCTGTCATTATTACTGAAATGCACCGACAGAGACTTGGGCAAACAAGAGAACACTCGCTGAAAGCTTTCAAATGAGGGGAAACTAATGTCCTGAAGCAGTTTAGACAATTCCTCTTATTAGAGGAGCAGGTGCAGTGAATAAACACCGTTTGATGCATTGTGATTTCATCACAATTTCTTGAATAAAGGCCAAAATCAACGGGATTTGACCGTCTTTAATGGTCTTTATGGGCGTTGTTTGCAATAAAAACTGCCTTAGACTAACTTAGAAGTGTACCCTGGAAGAATACAAAAAGTGTTAACATCTGCCTTTTATCTCCATCCAAGTCCACTTACCTATTCATCATATAATTCCTCTGCAGCAAAGAAAATTACTCTCCATTATGAGAATTACAGAGTGTGATGATCAGAGCATAATGAAGTGGCAGCATTTAGTTTTACAAGCAGTCCTGGTTCTGCAACATGGGCCACTCAATCCACACAGACTACTATTTTAGTCGGAAGAGGCAAATGCCATGCTGCAATACTATACTGCTATTTGGAAGCCAACAACTTCAACATTTACTGTAGTTGCCTTTCAAATTCATGTTTAGAAATCCTGTCAGAACTCTGTCTGAATTCCTTCCATGTGCAAATCAAATGAGCAGTTACTCATGTCAAAAGCGGTCTGCATATATTCTTTTTCAGTCTATCCAAGTAAAAAAATAAACAACAGTAATAATAAACCATTAATTATGGCTGTAAGAAAAAATTGTGAAGAATGAAACAAAAGTGCTTTTTGTTCAAAGAGCATACCAACAGTCCACAGAAACAGGTGCTTGGGATCCACACATGCTGTTTAGACAGATGATGTTAATACACCCACCCCTTCACCACAGGATTACACACACTCACACACTATGCAATGTTGTGTTGAGAGTAACCCTGGAAAATCATAAAGAAATGGAAGCAGATGGCTCTGTGTAATGGACAATGCACCTTTTTTTTTAAATACAGTATATATATAAATATATATATATTTTTATATCTTCTGTTTTTTTTTTTAAACTATATACTTCCACAAATTCGCAGTTAATAAATCATTGTAGCATGAAAATTAGATTTTGTCCCAAAAAGTTGGTTTGCTTAAGAGACATTGTGTCTGTTTGGGTTTTTGGATGGAGACTGGATTTTTACCAGAACATTTAATTCCTTTACATGCACAAATTCTTAAATGCAACAGAGGCATTCTTTCAGTATGATGTAATTCATCTCCTCTCAGACCTGCAGTCTGTATCAGTGTTGCATCAACAGTGTGAGTGTGTGGTTGTCTTATGACCATTTGAGTCTTAATGGCCCCACAGGCTGCATCACTTACACCGACCTCAGCTATGTCCTTAAAAGGGTTTATATCAGATAGGAGTGTGTACTTAAAGATTGTGTGTTTTTTCACAATTCTAAGCAGATAAATTCCCGCTTACCCCTATCTGATGTGTGCATATATGATGTATTGATTACCTTGGCATAACACGATTAACGTAGACCTGTTCAATTTCAATTACATGAAACATTTTAATTTGGGAGCTCAAACTACATCTTCTCCTGTCCATGCCCTGCATTTTAAATGGTTTTCCCTGCTAGAAATATTGTGTGCAGTAGCTGGAATCTGGCTCACAAGGTCAGGAAAGAAGATCTCTTCTCAAACTTTAAATTATATTTTGTGGGATAAAATTAAATGATTAAACCAATCAGCATCCTATACCACCAGGGTAGATTTTGTGTTAAACAAAAGTCAGCTCATGTTGCTCTTATACACGGAGTCATTAGCTCTGAAACACTTCGGTGAGATATAAAGAACAGGAGGTCTGCAGAACAAGCAAAATATGGGAGATACAGAATATAATCAATACTGGGAAATACTTTTTTTACAGCATTAGTTAAATAAGGATTACCTTTTTAGTGGGCTTATGAGCAGGGCCACACCTCAGGTAATTTCCCATCTGCCCTGCACACCTGTTAAGTCTTCCTCTTCTCTAGCCACACTTATTTAAGATTGGTAAAGATATTTACATGAATGCTTGTAAAAAATAGCAATACAACACAACCCGTCAAAAATTGCATGCATCTTATTGATGGCTGTTGCTTGTGAACAGGATAAAAAATTGGGCTATGGCATCCAGGTTATATTACGGTGATAAAAAATTAAAAGAAAAATGAGGGGTGGAACCATGATAGGAAGTCATGCATCCTTTCACA